CTCTTCTTTCCAAAGATCTCCCACTTAATCACACTTTTTTAATACTTCCCCTAAACAATTTCACTGTAAGACAAGGCTACATAACACTGTGCAGTTCTCTGTTACGGCATTTTTGTCCTGGGTGATGTCTTGATTTGTTTCTCAGTTGACCCCTTGTCTTTAGGCAACCAGCAATCCCAACCCAGTCTTCATCTGTCGTGAGGACATCTAAAATCATCGCCTCACTTGGCCATGCCATCCTTCAGAAGCTGATGAGAAACTCTCCATGGCACAGCACATCCTTCGGTATCTCCAGCCAAAGTCTCCCGTGACAACACAACTTTCCTTTTCACACACGGCAGAGAGGTTCTTACTCATGGAATAAATCACCGTGTTTTGGGGGGGGGGTTCAGGAGTACATAAAAGACCCTTCCCTGCCTTGAGGAAATTGTGTGTCAGAGCACGTTTGGCTGTCAGCTCTAGAGTGAACGTGATTTTTAGCGCAGCGTGCAACCCCAGGCGAGCTCGCAGTTCTACGAGGTGGCCATGAACATTGAAAATATTAATTTACCACATTTCTTCCTACCCTGAGAACTTCGACTTCCCCTTGCCCAGATCTGTGCAGCCTGCTGTCGAAGCCGAAAATGCTGCCTCTTCCCGTCCGTTGTGACATTGGTCCAGCTCCATCACGCCACCTCTGAGTGGGACCTTTTGAGTTTCTCTTCCATAGCGTTGCCCTAGTACCTTCCCCGCTCTCACAGCTGTTCTCCAAGCTATGAAATCTATAACCCCCTCTGCCAGAGGACCTATAGCAGCCTCTCCTGATTCCCATCCCAAGAGAAAGTGGCCTAAACATTTAGAAAACTCACGTCTAAAACACCTCTCACAGTCTCATACGTCCACTGGAAGATGTTCAATGGTGGTTGGGCTTCCCCAAACCCCCTGTAGCCCATCCACGCTGTCTTACTCTCACTCCCAGCATCAATCACCACGTGTAGAGGCTTGCCAGATGTCTTCAGGAGCCTACCCATGCATCATCCAGGTGCATCTCTAAGGAGACAGCACTCCACTGTGTTCTGTGTTAATTCTGACCTCTCCTCTCAAAAGGAGGTTTCTTACTCGTAACCGGAGTATTTGACGTACTCGATCATCACACGCAAGTTCTGGGACACTCTGTGCCACAGGTACCTGAGATAACAACAACCATAAACGTATAAAGAGCACGGCCCTCTCAAGAACAAAGGAACCTTTTGTAGCAGAGGTACGAGGCTTAGGAAAGCCAATCTCCCAGCTCAAATCTAGAAACAAGGACGACTTGCTACGCAGCTTTGATGTCTCCAACCTCTTGGCTAAGACACAAGACAAACAGAATAATAAACAGGTTATCAGGGAATCAAGAGTTGCTCCGGTGAAGACTGTCAGCATCACAGTTAGGTCCATCTGAGGAAGCCTGAAACGGGGAAAAGCTAACTCACACGACGCCGAGTCATGTGGGACAGATGACAAAGCACCTTCAGAAGGGTGCTGGGTGGGAAATACAGGACCTTAACTGACCAGATGGACAAGTCAGCCTCTTTCAGTTCTGAGATATGATCTAAAATAGACGGGATCCAGGAATGAGGGGAGGGAGGGAGCAGGCTTGCTTAACACACGGAGGAAGATCTAGGCTACTTTGTGGTCAAGTTGGCTGAATGCTCTCTAGAGCCAGTAAGAACGTCCCACATCCACGCAGTGCGGTGCAAGGAGGGCAATGCTCCCCACCCCCTCTGTGGGAAAATCTGGTAGTCTTCATCAAGAAGCTCAGTGGGCCTGGTCTCGGGGCTACCTTGTCTCTGAGGATGGGAGCCCACCCTTCAGACAAGTCCTGGGGAACTTCACTAGAGGAGCGGCAGAGGCTACCAGCAGGAAGCCAGGCCTCGCTTCCGCAAAATGCCTGGCACGGCTTGTTGACATCCCTTGCCAAGAGGCTGATGTCAGCACAGGGAGCATGGAGCACAGCGGCCACGGCAGAGAGCTGCGTCTCTCACCCCAGCTCAAAGGCTGATCCTGTCCCAGCAGGATGCTCACAGGTGGGTCTGTCCCAGCCCAGGGACAGCTCTTGCCTCGAGGGATGTTTTTTGTGCCACTCCCACTGATATAAAAGTTGACATGTGTAGGGCACATTTGGACACCACAGCCCAAATGTTGGGAAGGGAGAAGCCAGAGCAATCACTAGCACGTTTCCAGACTGCCTGAGGAAGTCTCTGCCAACATGGACTTCTGGAGGGTGGGGAAGCTGAACCAGCCTGCCTAAATATTCAACGGGAGGACCTCACTGCCACTCCAGAGAGACACAATCCTGGATGGTCTTGGAGGTCACCAGACAGCAGCCACAGTCCTGAGACGGATGCTGATAGAGGGACTGCCTGGATGCATCCTGCCATGGAACCCCTACGTTCAACATTTGCACTTGGGCAATAAACATTCACGTTAATGCATGGACACCACGTGCAACAGGACTTGGTCTCCTGTATGCCAAGGTCTGCTCTGGTGCACTAAGGACCATACAACACGCTCACGGGTGAGCACTGTCAGCTGGAAAAAGTAACTGACCTGCTCCCCCAAAGTTCATTTCATCAATTCATCATCTTGGTCAAGAACAGGAAAAGGCCCACTCCATCCACGGCCAAGCTGCCCCTGCAACCAAGTCTTTCAGAAAGTTTAGGCCAAATGAAGATTTTTGAATGGGCCGGGATCTAAGGGTAAATGAGAGATGATTGTTCCCTGTGAAATAAATACAGACCAGCAGGTATTGAGGAAGATCAAGCAGCCAAGACCTGGGTCTTCGATAAACTGTTTCTTCTGATATCGCTTCCTGAGCAGGCGCTGCTGAGAGGAGTCCTGGAAAAGAGATGAAGTTAGGGATGCAAGAAGCGACACAGTGCTGAGCAGTTCCTAGACACCACAGTTTCCAGCAGGGCTCATAGTGGAGAAAAGCAGGCTAGATACTCCCCAAAGACTGGAGAGGAGCCCACAGAGAAGAGTTAAACAGATGGAAGGTCCACATCTCCTCATATCCAGCATCAAAGGCACAGGGTCACCGTTGACGGACAGCAAGACGTGGGGGAGATGGTCCAACGAGCACGGGAGGCCTTGGGCTGTGCTTCCCATGCTGAGAAATTGCTGAGGCAAAGGATCAGCATTGTGTGTCCTGCCCGTGAGACCTCAGGAGCTGTCCCACCGGTGGGGGAACGGAGCTTGTCACTGGTGATACAACTCACCGGAGAACCACGTCTTGCTCACACGGGTTGAGGAGATCTCAGCTTCACTGCAAACGAAGTTCTGACAAGCGGTGGGACTGGGGTCCCCACACGCGTCCTGGGATGAGGGTGTCTGGCAGATGTTGGTCCTTCCATGCTTCATGCTCGAAACCCCGCAGGGCACACGCTCTGCCGTGCTGCGGGTTCTTACGCAGCACCGAGAGGCCACATACACGTCACGGATCGTGCACGGGGGAAGCTGGACATGCCCAGCCGGCCC